GTAGTCGGATTTCAGCGAGCCCGAAAGAACAACTGGTACGATGAGGAGTGTCAGGAAGCTGCAGAGAAAAAAGATGCCGCCTACAGGGTCACGCTGCGATCGGGCGCAACGCGCGCTATGTGGGACCGCTATAGGGATCTGAAGAGGGAAGCGAGACGTATTTGCCGCAACAAGAAGAGAGAGGCAGAAATACGTGAGTGCGAAGAGCTTGAAATGCTGGCCGACAGGAGGAATGCCCGAAAATTTTACCCGAGAGTTAGGCGACTTACGGAAGGTTTAAAGACCGGGGCGCACTCCTGTAAGAACAATAATGGCGACCTAGTAACTGATGTCCAGAGCGTACTTAAATTATGGAGGGAACACTTTTCCGCCCTACTAAATGGTAGCAGCACGGAAAGTTGTGGAGAAGAAGAACCCGAGCCCGCAGTCGATGATGACGGAGTCGACGTTCCACCGCCTGACTATGACGAGGTACGTATAGCAATAACGCGGCTGAAAAACAACAAAGCCGCTGGAGCTGACAGCCTGCCAGCTGAGCTATTCAAGTACGGCGGCGAGGAGTTGATAAGGTGCATGCATCAACTCTTGTGCAGAATATGGTCAGATGAACGCATGCCCGACGACTGGAATTTAAGTGTGCTCTGCCCAATCCACAAGAAAGGTGACCCCGCCATTCGCGCCAACTACCGCGGGATCAGCCTTCTAAGCATAGGTTAAAAGGTCTTATCGAGCGTATTGTGTGAAAGACTGAAGCCCACCGTCAATGACCTGATTGGGCCTTATCAGTGTGGCTTTAGACCTGGCAAATCCACCATAGACCAGGTATTCACAATACGCCAAATCTTGGAAAAGACCCGCGAGAAAAGGATCGACACTCACCACCTATTTGTCGACTTTAAAGCCGCTTTTGACAGCACTAAAAGGAGTTGCCTATACGCCGCTATGTCTGAATTTGGCATCCCCTCAAAACTCATACGGCTGTGTAAAATGACGTTGAGCAATACCACCAGCTCCGTCAGAATTGGAAAAGACCTCTCCGAGCCGTTCGCCACAAAACGGGGTTTCAGACAGGGCGACTCCCTTTCATGTGACTTCTTTAATCTGATGTTGGAGAAGATAATAAGAGCTGCAGAACTGAACCGCTCAGGAACAATTTACTACAAGAGCGTGCAATTGCTGGCTTATGCCGATGACATCGACATCATCGGTAACAAAAACCGCGAAGTCTGTTCTGCCTTTTCCAAGTTGGATAGGGAAGCAAAGCGCATGGGTCTGGTGGTAAACGAGGACAAGACGAAGTATCTCCTGTCATCAAACAAACAGTCAGCACATTCGCGCCTTGGCACCCACGTCACTGTTGACAGTTACAATTTCGAGAAAGTAGAGAATTTCGTTTACTTGGGAACCAGCATTAACACCGATAATAATGTCAGCATTTCAGCATTGAAATCCAACGCAGAATCACTCTTGCCAACAAGTGCTACTTTGGGCTGAGTAGGCAATTCAGGAGTATAGTCCTCTCTCGACGTACGAAAACCACGCTCTATGTCACTCATCATGCCCGTGCTGGTATATGGCGCAGAAGCATGGACAATGACAACATCCGATGAGCCGGCTCTTGGAGTGTTTGAGAGAAAGATTTTGCGGAAGATTTACGGGCCTTTACGCGTTGGCGACGGCGAGTACGACATGGAACATAGTGCAGCGAATTAAAATACAGCGGCTCCGCTGGCTTGACCATGTCGTTCGAATGGACACCGAAGCTCCAGCTCTGAAAGTATTCAACTCGGAACCCGCCTTTGGTAGCAGAGGAAGAGGGAGGCCCCACTGCGATGGAAAGATCAGGTGGAGAAGGACTTGGCTTCACTTGGCGTATCCAATTGGCGTCAGTTGGCACAGAGGAGAAACGACTGGCGTGCTTTGCTGAACTCGGCCAAAATCGCTTAGGCGATTACAGCCCTTAAGAAAAAATCAATAAACTTTAAACAAACGAAAGGAAAATAGCCAAAAGAGGTCAAGATATCGTTTTTTATATATGGGTAATTTCCAAAAAAGTGTACATGTCAAGTATTTTTAATATTTTTTTTTTTAAGAGGGATAAATTTATCCTATGAAATCGTTTACCGACGTGAAAATTTGTGCATAATACCAAACTGCTTTCAGGCTCTTCAAAAATTAATTTTTTTCCTATTTTTGCAAAATATTTTCCAGAATGAATGAATGAAGTAAGATCTGCTTCAGTTGAAATCTGGTAGCACTCTACACAGCACAACTTTTTTATGGACTACTCGATCAGCCGTTTATTTAGTGTGCTGGTTTTGCTATCGCTGTTTTTTATTACAGTTAATTTTCATATGCGTAACTTTAAAAATAAGTGATGTGGAGAGCAAAGAACTTCAGCAAAGAAAATTGATTTTGGACAATTTCATGCAAAATCCACACATCTCCCAATGTCGGTTAGTAAAATTGCTGAAAATTTAAAGGTCTACGGTTCAAAATATATTTTCAAATTTCAAGAAAAAAGACAACATTGGGAGAAAGGCGGAATATGGCGAAAAATCAGGCGGTATAAATAAAATAGCGGAGAACGATGTTCTAAGGACTTTGAAAAGGAATCCCAACATTTCTGAACGTGTTGTTGCATCTGGAGTGTTGTTCTGAGAGCCTGTATTGTTTTGGCCTTATCTGGCAACAAGCCATTTTGCAAAAAAGCGCAAGAGTTTTATACACAAAATGGAATCAACATTATACTAAAAGAGGCCAATCCTCCGGCACGGCTTCAAGAATAACGCAGTTCTGCAGAATGTGGCGAAAACAGGCTGAATCGATCAACGAAAGGGATGTCCAAGTATTAATGGCGGGCGTCATCTCTAAACTACGGGTATTTTGGCGTGGAAATTAATTCTAATAATATTTGTAAATCTTTCATTTAAATATAAATAAAAGAAGGTTCTAAAAAAGTTACGACCGAATTATTCACATTTAAATTAGTTTTTTTGCTATTTAACACCTGCCAGATTTCAACTGAAGCAGATCTTAAATTAAGGGATTGAATAAGTTTAGAAACTGTTAGAAAAAAAGTATACTAACCGAAAAGCATTTACTAATTTTTAACATGAAATGCATGCTTTTAAAACAATCACTTTGAACCTCATTTATCACGTAAGCTAATGTTGAAGTTTTTTCCACCTTCTTCATGCCATTTTTCATGGTTTCGTGGCATGGTTTTTCTTGGGAGGCAGGCATTTTTGTTTAATCTTTCTTCGGCAACAATTTCCCATAAATGCGATTTGAATACTTTTGGAGAAATACAGCGTGGCGACGAATAACTGTCACCCAGGCTTTTTGAGAAATAAAAGGGCCCTTTATAGATTTTGCGAAAAAAGTATTTTATTGTTAATTTTCCACAGATTTTACTTCAGATGTATTAATTAGTTTTTAAATTTTAATCCTTATTTACATTTGCCAGCAGTGTACACTTTGAGAGAAAAGTTCATTTGGCACGCAGGTCTTCGTCAGTTAATTTATTCCATATCTTCTGTAACCATAGGCAAATTTTCTCCATTTCGAGTCCCTTATACTACCCCTTTTGGTGACTAGGACGGCCATTCATTCGACCAACCTTATACAGTTTTTTTCTTGTTTGTATTCTTTTTATACTTGCCCGCTAAATGAACTTTTCTCTCAAAGTTTAAACTGCTGGCAAATGTAAATAAGGTTTAAATTTAATAACTAATTAACACAACTAAAGTAAACTCTGTGGAAAATTAACAATAAAATACTTTTTTCTCAAAATCTATAAAGGACCCCTTTGTTTCTCAGAAAATCGGGGTAACAGTTATTCGTCGCCACCATGTAAGCTATTCAAATAAAAAATTTCTTTTCACCTAAAAGCGAAATGGAAATATTACACTTTTTTTACTAAGAGTATTTTTCCACCAAAATATAAACACAAGGAAATCATTGAAACTTCTGAAGCAATAAACATGCAGTGGTAATGATGCTATTTTTAATGTTTTTCGCATAAAAAACTGGGTGACATTTAGGAAATAGCCTTACATACCATGGCGCAACGATAGATTCACTCAAAACAGACAAAATAATTACTTTTATTGAGTTATTTCGTATGTCATTCGATCAACAGCTTCTTGCGCTCCTTAACTGCAATGCACTTAGGCAATCAAAACTAATGTTAATATCACGGCGAATTTAAAAAAGTGGCATTCAGGAAAATTCGGAGGGACAATATTATAATAGAATGCCATGCTTATGCTGATAAAATTTTTCACGCAAAAATAGAACAAAACAATAAAAGTTAAGGTGGTCATTCACAAACAGTTACGCCTTTTTTCATTGTTTCTTAGTTTAAACTCCTTTCATGTTGACTATCGAATAACCTGATCGGGGAGAAATATTTTTATATGGATTAGGTAAAATAAATCAAAGATATACCGCGCGCAAAAGAAAAGAAAACGGCTTACAATAATAAAAAACAGCTTTGTTGGTGGCGTATTATTTGGATCGTATCATAGTGTAATAAACAAAGTGAAATCAATATATGACATATTTATTTTCGATACGCTTATTTGACCACAGTTTTGTCATTGCATTAACCCAATTGCCAGTAGCACAAAAAATAGCACTTCGTTTGGAAATGACCCATATGCCTTTTTATAACGTGTTTCCACGAACAATGTGTGTTAAAAAACTTGACAGCAAAAATAGTATAAATGCAGAACCAAAAAAAGGCCAAAAAAAGTGTTGATACGAACGTTATATATACATAGGGTTTTTTGGATAACATCGCATTTTAATAGGGCTTTCCAGAAAAACTAATACTTTATTTTCATACACATTATGTCCACCTTACCTACCATCGATTTCACAATGATCGAATCCAAATCACCTAAGCAATCCCAATTAAGGACAATCACACGCTGAATTTCGGGCAGAGTGACACTACAAAACAATAGCACAATTACTGGGCAATACTGGGTTAATATATTTTTTTTCTAATTAAATTTTATTATGAAATGCTTGATAAAAATTACTTACGGTTCCGCAAATGTCATCAAATATAAGATTTTTTCTTAGCTTTAGCACCTAACGTTCGAATGCCAAGTGACTACATTTTGACAAAGTTAAGCTGTATATTATATGGGACATATTAAAAATGTTGTTAGTTTTCCAATTTTGAAATTTTTGTCACCGAAGTGGCAATATCTAGTTAAATGACAAAAATTAAATAATTGTTTTTAATGTACCAAATTGTTTATAAATATACAAAAACGGTAAATCTCTATGAACATTCTTCTTGGCTCTTTCTGACACAACGAGCAACCTTTCGTTTGAATTCTGGATATGACTCCCTCCATTCTTTAGCAGCATCAACATTAGCTGGGGACTCGTCGTTTGGATCAGCTAGCATTGATATCACAGATATCAAAATCGTTTCAACAGTATGTACTGGCAACCAGCGTTCAGATGCTTTCTCATAACCCCATTTATCATCGCCTGGTTCATGTAAAATGGAAATACAAACATCACCATTCTTTTCAATGTTAGGGTGCCATATTTCCGTCACAAATTTCATTCGGGGAGGGCGCAGAGGGTACTCCTTCGGAAAATATAAATGTGCTTTGAAAAAGCCACCTTCACTGTAAGTAAAAGGATGATAATATTATTTAATTTATAGCTCCATATAAAGATATATATATATAAGAGTGGTTCATAAAAACACTATTTTTGGAAATTCATAAACGCTACCTCAACTACTGATGTTCTAAAAAAGAGACACGTATTTTTTGATTTTGAAAAAAAGTTTTTTTAGAGGTCGCGCTGGTTGTTTTTTTTATAGAAACGCTGAAGTTCTTAATTTTTTTTTTTTCGTGACATGTTAAAATGCAGCTAAAAATGTGGTTTTTACATATAATTACTCGCGTATTATCGGAGAACATTCCCTTATTTACATACCTGTCTTGGACAGTTAGAATGGGCCTAGTTCCCGAAAATATGCTCTCGAATAGAGACTACTAAAATTAAAGCCTTAATACTGAACGATTTACGCGTTATCATGGATTATAACTTGTTACCAGGTGATTTTTGGGGTTGCTAATTATAAATCTGAATCCAGTTTTTCAAAATTGAAAATGGTGGATCCAAATCGGCGACAAATTTTTTAAAAAATTATTGAGTTTGTTCGAAACCCGGCACTCGGGAGTTTTTGGAGTCGCTGACTACGAATCTGAAGTAAATGTTTTTAAATTCAAAATGGCGGATCCAGTATGGCGATCGAATTAAAAAAAAATACTAAAATTAAAACGTTGATACTAAACGTTTTAACCATTGTCAAAGTTAAACTTGTTTCCAGTAGGTTTCTGGGTATGCTGTTTACGAATCTGGTATTAGATTTTCAAAATTAAAAATGGCGGATCCAAAATGGTGACCAACTTTTAATTAACCGCCATTTCAAATTTTGAAAATCGTAATCAACAAACCCAGAAACCCACTGGAAACGAGTTTCAAGCATTGGAAAAGCTTAAAACGTTCAGCATCAACGCTTTAATTTTAGCAATTGCTTTTTAATTTGATCGCCATATTGGATCCGCCATTTTGAATTTAAAAAAATTGACTTCAGATTCGTAGTCAGCGACCCCAAAAACTCCCGAGTGCCGGGTTTCGAACAAATCCAATAATCTTTTTTTAATTACTCGCCATTTTGGATCTGCCATTTTGAATTTTGAAAAACAGACTTCAGATTTCTAATTAGCAACCCCAGAAGGCCCCTGGTAACAATTTCCAACCAATAATAATGTCCAGGATAGGTATGCAATTAAGAGAATATTCCCCAATAATACCAGAGTAATTATATGTAAAAACCACATTTTTTACTGCATTTTAACATGTCAAGAAAATAAAAAAAATGAGATCATCGTTTTTATAAAAAAAAAACGACCAGCGCGACCTCTAAAAAAACCTCTCTTTTTTCTAAATAAAAACACGTTTCGCTTTTTTTATCACAAATAATAATTTGAGGTAGCGTTTATGAATTTCCAAAGTAAAAATTTTTGAACCACTCTAATATATATACATATATGTATGTATGTATATATTTTTGGCCGAATTCTACAAATATACACATATTATTATACACCGACAGAAGTCTTCTACATTTCGTAATCGGTGCGTTTTACAAAATCCTTTTCGAATATTTCTTAACAAAAAAAAAAACAATATTTAGAGTTCAATCATTGTAAGTACATATATAACACAACTAACTTGTTGTCAGCAGATTTCATGCAATGACTCTTGACTATTTTGTAAAGCATACTCGCCACTAGACTCTAACACCGGCTCCCAGAGATTCTGTTCAACAAACTGGCATATACTAGCAGTAGGACCACATTTCCCATTCATTAAATACCACCGAAGAAGTAGTCGTATTTCAATAGTGTGGAGAAAATATAATTTGTTATCAAAAAATCTGCCTATTCCTCAAATCTTAGTCGGTTTGTTTAATGGTCGTTATTTATTGTACTTTAAGGATGTGCTACTCTTTTCTTGAATAGTCGCGAACGGATCTCATAAAATGAACCAAAGTTAAGAGCCCTAATTGATCTTAACTTCAAGGTCACTAATAGAGTGTACCACTTTTATCCCAAAAATTGAAGTCATACATATGGGCGATCCCACCGTCACGGATGGGACATTTGTACAGAAAAAATGTTCTTTCTTGTTCAAATGTAAGTATAAAGTACTCAACAATTCCACATTTTGAGAAAGCTACACCTGATTGACTATTAAATGAGTTATAGCAAATACGAAAAAAATTCCAGCTTACTTTCACATGGAAAAAATCTGAGTTATTTATTCTGTCCCGGGTGGGACACTTTTCTGTGTGAGCTTGATGTCTTATAATAAAACAAAGAACCACGAATACAAACAAAGCAAAAACTACAAGAAAAATGATGGCTTTATTATAAAAAAAAAAACGGAGATTCCACTGTCACGGGTGGGACACGTAAGAATTTTTATATGAAAAGGAGCTTTTAGTGTGGTCCATATTAAATATTAGTTATTAAAAAAGGCGTGAGTACTAGGTACTCATGAAATTTGATGTGTATACATATTCACATATACACATACATACATATAAATATAATCTCAATCAAAGCTCGTTAGCTGTCAAATTGGTTGTGCTTGTTATTCACACAACTCGAGGAAAAGTTAAACTTCTTCTCTGTGCCACCGTGGTCACTTTTTTTTGCAACACATATTAGGCCATTTAAATATATTTTAACTGAATATTTTATTAAAAATACCTTTACAAACATATTTTCCTTACTAGCGTAAATTTTTGTTTACTTTAACATTTGACATTCCTCCTCTTCTTCGCAAGTATAATCGATAAAACTGGGTTGGACACCAAAAAGTTATCGGTTTAATCTGAGATATTTTTAATTATAACTTTGCATGGCTAATCTCTTTTTCTAATACAGATTAGGGAGTCAAGCTCGAAAATTAGGATAATATTTTTATATATAAAGGCGATTCAGTTACACACATACAAATGTAGGTTAGGTTAGAAATTAAATATTAATTTCACTTAATTTTATTCATTTTGCTGATTTAATTTTTTTATTCATTTTCATTTTTAATTCTTTTAATACATGACATTATCGGTATGATTGATAAAATATACTTGTACATATATACTTGTGACTCAAGGGCGTTAAAATATCTTGGAAACACCGCATATAGGTAGATTTTCAAGTTTTATGCGGCAAAAAATATTTTATTGCCTCTATCTACTCAAAATTGTTTATCAAATGTAAAATTGAAATAATTTGTATTACAGATAGGTTATATTAATAAAATATATATATTAGCCAATAATTTACTATTTAAATATATTGACTACCTTTATTTATAAAATGTGTGTACACTATCATTGGTTAATTAGTTTTCGCTTTCAGAATCTTCGCTGGCCTCAAACTATTCCTTTGTCACATCTTTGACAACGGATTTAGAGGGTAACAGCAGCTTTATTGTGTCTGTGGAAAACGATTTGATATTTTTTCTTTTTTTGGTCATGAACCGAAATACTGCTTAAAAACGAGTCCGAGCTCATCAACAGCCGGTTATATATGTCACGGTTACATACTTCACGAGAAAACTTCCGGGAATAATTTTCTCGGTAGTGTTTGTTGTGGGCCTCTTGAGCCTCCCCGATAATTGTCCTATTGTTAATAAGGAATTAGTATCTTGTGCATTGTGGGTGTCATAGGATGCCATGCCGTCGTCGATTCGCCACTTCTCGCTCGCTATGTTTGAGTTCCGGTCGCTTAACGAAAAATTTTGCATGTGAAAGCAACAACAAAGTTAGCTAGCACGGATAGACGATAGCAAGTTTGGTTGTACCTCATTGAGTTCGTTCGTTTCGCCACTTGCTAACTGATGGCGAATCGATGACGGCTAATAATCAATTGTAGCGCATTTCCTCTTACTATGCATATGCCTAAATGTATGCAACCATTTGGCAAGCGAACACAGGGTGCTTCTAATGAAAATAAAAATTTTATGCTGAAATACACATGCTAAGCCCTTCGAAATTTTGTGCTGGGATATGCGTTACAGCTTCGCAAATTTTACTCCTACCGAAACCAAAGATGTATACACATCAAAAATATAAAAAGCCAAGTACGGGTTCACTCACGTTTCATCTTAGGATAGTGCCTTTTATATAGAACAGTGTCGGCCACACTTACACAATCACATTTTGAGCATGTGTTGAAAGCACAAAAGCCCATTGATACACCCAAAAATAGCTGCAAACGTAACACAAAGGTTTGTTTTTGCTAATTAGAACTATAAAGCTTAAATAGACGGCAGCCGTATGCCGTCTGTTTATGCTTTTAGTAAAGTTTAAAGCATTGTTCCGTTAATATGAATATAAGTAAATCGAAACGCACATAGATTCATATATGTATATGTGCGTGCAAAGAGTGGCCGCTTAAACTAAACAAAAAAAAAACCCCAACACGCATACATCATACAACCGTTGAGCGACAGCTCCAGCAGCGCACAACCTGCTGGCTCAGCAGCTAATGGTCTGATTATGCATACTTCGCATAACCTCGCACAACTTTGTAAAAACTTCAAACTGTAATTTCGTATGTACTTTGTATGTATTCCATTAACCAGAAATTAGCAGAACTTTTAAAAACTTAGCGATCTGTTGAGTTTAAATTTTGCTTCACATTTTCTTAAGTTACACTTTTAGTGCACTGGTACAAATGGTTGTGCGAAGTTATGCGAAGTATGCATAATCAGACCCTAAGCTTCGACTGGCAAGCAAAGCAAATAAATAATTTGTCTTGCTGTGCAAGAAAGCTTTTTACTGTAGGTGTGAGCAGTGCTGCCGCTGTCACTTCAATTGAAGTTTTTCACTTCACTTTGGAAGCCTTCACTTCGTGACTTCATTTCACTTCGTTTTACTTTACTTTCCACATATTAGATTTATCTTCAAAATAAATAAAAATTGCTTTGAAATAAATGATTTATGTATTTAACTAAACTCAACAAACTTTTGCTAAAATCCTTATAATGATAAGTATGGCAAAGTAACTTTTCGCAAAAGCTACTAAAAAGACACATAATAAATCTCCAATCTGGCATCGGTTATTTGGAAGAAGTCATTTTAATTTTCATTTTGACATGTACAGATGTAAAGCGCACAGAAGGGAATAAGTGGGTAAAGTTTCATAATTATTTAGTAAATATTTGACGAAAAAAAACAATCTTATTTTAGTTTTCATACATCTTCAATTTTGCAGCAAAAAGGAAACATTTAAGTGAATCTGGTGATCTCATTGTTGCTGTGAGTCGATAATCGATTAATTATATTTTAGTCATGATTTCATCAGCGAACTGTAATTTTAAATTTTCTTTCCTCAGCGTTTGAGACATTGTGATTTTAAAGATATTCCAGCACTAAATTTGCACAGGAACACAATAAATTATAAATTGATAAAGGTTAAAGACTTCTTTTATTGTGATAAAAACATTATCGATTAACCAATCAGCTGATAAATAACCCAATCGAAAAACCCCTCACCCCTAATTATGCTTGAAAGTCGTCACTTCGATAATCACTTCACTTTTCTATCAAGTCACTTCGAAACACTTCATTTTTAGTGTGTTTTCACTTCGCTCGAAAATTACCAAACGGCAGCACTGGGTGTGAGCATGATTCAATAATACAGGTTCGATAAACTGACAGTTGTCTCTCTCGCACCGCTCCCTTAGCAATGGCACCGTGTTGCTTCTTTGCAAATTTACTTGAAAATTGTAGCATCGCTGTGAAATAGAAGTACATATAAGCTTTTGTGCAATATGTTTATTTGTATATGCATATGAAGCACATTTAACTGATGAAAACAAAAATTGTTTTTAAATTGGATGTTTACATAAATCTCATAGTAGTTGAGTCCTTTTGCAGTTTTTATACAGCTACATAGCACATAAATTACGTAATTCACGTAGATATATTAATATTTCGTTCAATATTTCGTTTAAAACGCCAGATTTCCTGCAAATACATTAGAATTTACAAAAGGAATTTCACTACTAATTGCCTACTTGCGTACTTTACTACTACCATTTTCGCAACAAGGGATTGCATTCTTCTCCTTTCTCTGTCCTTCGTAAATGCAATCTTTTGTAAGGGAGTGTCAAACCGCGGCTGTCAATAATTATCTAACCTAGTATTATTGAATCATGGGTGTGAGGCTGTCGGTGAGAAAGCTTGAAAAAGCTTATGCATGCGTGCATAAGCTTTGGCCACCGCTGATATAGAAGCACCGTCAGCCAAAAAAATTATTAAAAATCAACGCGATTTCCTAGCTTCTTGATATTTTCACTTTTAGCGGCTATAAAACTGCATACTGCATTTTTCTAAAAATTCTGAACAAAAAGTTTAAAATTTTTGGGTGTAATTCTTAAAGTTTGTTGAATTTTTATAATTTTTGTACGAAGTTTGTATGTGGATTTATGTGGTTCTGGTTATGTACTGTGCTAGACTTTTATAGAAAAAAACTATAAACATTCAATAAACAAAAGTAAAAACTAAAACTGGTCAAAATGTCACTTAACTTAATGGGTCCACGGGTTTGCCCCGGGGTCCGTAGAGTTTTGGGGGCCCGGCAGGGCTCAACAGCGTTGAAGATACAGATATTAAAATATATTTTATTGCTACAAAAATTTTGATTATGGTAATATCTTGAATTAAATGGTCATTATAATTATAAAACAGTCAATCACTTCATGCTGAAGTAAAAATTCTACATACTAAAACACTTGCTTATTTTAAGTCCGGTCTGGCATCTTTATTTGAGCGTACACATGCGCAGTCAAGATAAATTGTTTTGGAAACTTTTTTGGTCTTTTCGAGAAGGCATTTGGAGAAGGTGAAGGAAACTCAAACAAATAAGAAATGCCCCCAAGTTCATTATTTGCCTCATGAAATACAAATTGAATTTATCGAATGCTTTTCAAGTCAAGTTATTCGCATGGTAGTAAACGAGGCAGTTAAGTATTACACAATTATCATCGATGCAACCCTTATTCGGCGCATATTGAGCAGAATGTTTTCACTTTGCGGTATATTTTATTCGACAAGGACTCAGGGACATAGGAAATCCAAGAACGATTCTTGCAGTTTGTGGATTGCAACATCAAAACAGGCGAAGCTATCGCTGAGCTGATCCGTAAAGTATATGTAAATTACTTAATATAGAGGAAAAAAGTGATAACGGTGGCACAGAGAAGAAACTTGACTTTGGTGCAAAAAATCTGACGGCTAATAATCTGAGATTTGCCTGTGTAAATCACCCCGTTTAAGTAAACAAGCTTTGATTGAGACTATATTTATATGTAAACATACCTGTATTCTCTTTTAAATGTTAATAATGTTTTGCAAGCTAAAACTTCTTTTTTTTAATATTTTTACTGAGCTTTGTACCACGATTGTTTATTAGGAAAATTTTAAAAAGCAACAAAGTCTAAGCGGTAGAAGTTATAGCACTATTTCGAAAATCACCACATCTCCTCAAAAGAAGTATTTTTTTCTAGACTTCAGCAGGGATCGAACCTGCGTAATCGATGTTCAATGTCAGAAGCGTTAACCACTGAGCTATGTATATCCCGTAAACTCTGGTTGCTAATTCATTTTCCTTATTCAACCAACTACTATCAAGTGCAGCTGATTTGCTTTTTTGTATAGTTTCAGGCAGGCTTTTCCTAAACTATGTATTTGTCAATGTTATTGTGGCTTATTAACATTTTATTTTTAATATTTTTACTGAGCTTTGTACCACGATTGTTTATTAGGAAAAATTGAAAAGGCAACAAAGTCTAAGCGGTAGAAGTTATAGCACTATTTCGGAGATCACCACATCTCCTCATCAGACTTATTTTTCCTGGACTTCAGCAGGGATCGAACCTGTGTAATCGATGTTCAAAGACAGAAGCGTTAACCACTGAGCTATGTACATCCCGTAAACTCTTGTTGCTAATTCATTTTCCTTATTCAACCAACTACTATCAAGTCTAGAAAAAAGTCTGATGAGATGTGGTGGTCTCCGAAATAGTGCTATAACTTCTACCGCTTAGACTTTGTTGCTTTTTCAATTTTTCCTAATAAACAATCGTGGTACAAAGCTCAATAAAAATATTAAAAATAAAATGTTAACAAGCCACAATAACATTGACAAATACATAGTTTAGGAAGAGCCTGCCTGAAACTATACAAAAAAGCAAATAAGCAAATGGATGTATAGAATTGACAACAACAACCACGCTGTCGAGTTTAAATAGCGGCAAATCAGCTGCACTTGATAGTAGTTGGTTGAATAAGGAAAATGAATTAGCAACAAGAGTTTACGGGATGTACATAGCTCAGTGGTTAACGCTTCTGACTTTGAACATCGAATTCGCAGGTTCGATCCCTGCTGAAGTCTAGAAAAAAGAAGTCTGATGAGGAGATGTGGTGATCTCCGAAATAGTGCTATAACTTCTACCGCTTAGACTTTGTTGCTTTTTTAATTTTTCCTAGTAAACAATCGTGGTACAAAGCTCAGTAAAAATATTAAAAATAAAATGTTAATAAGCCACAATAACATTGACAAATACATAGTTTAGGAAGATCTTGCCTGAAACTATACAAAAAAGCAAATAAGCAAATGGATGTATAGAATTGACCACAACAACCACGCTGTCGAGTTTAAATAGCGGTAAATCAGCTGCACTTGATAGTAGTTGGTGGAATAAGGGAAATAAATTAGCAACAAGAGTTTACGGGATGTACAGTGATGGGCAAAACTGTAGCATGGTATAACACTTTTTACTTCAGCCATCGCTATCTTTCCAAGTTCTAATAATTGTGTTGTATAATCTTATTAGTACACCTGTACTTCCTCTCTCATAACGATTTGAAGTCAATACAACAACAATAAAAAAAAACAGCAGACAAAAATGTAAATTAGGGCAAATGTTACAGTTTTTCACTCACTCTAAGTTTTGCCTTTTACAGTTATCTCTTACTTAGATGGAAGTCAGATGACTTTTTTTTGTATTGCAATTTATTGAAGAAGTGATCACCAGTAAATAATATAGTTAATCAGGAAACATAAATGTAAATAATAGATTTACTGCGGAAAGGCGGAACCGCACGAAAAGTGGCAAAAAAATGTGGAATTTGCTACTTGAAAATGTTAAGACTGAGAAAAAATATAGCCTAAAGTGTTCCCAAGGACAAAGGAAGGTTGTCAAAAAATATTACGGTCCGATATCTTGTGAACTTAGCAGCAAATAGCGATGCAGCCCCTATTTCAGAAGCGCTTAAGGTATTAAACTTTAATGCAAATCAGTAGACAGCGAGGCGAAGAATTGCCAAATTGGGCGCAAAGGATCACAAAAGAAAAAAGCAAATTTGATCAAAATACATGTGCGAGTGTGGTAGCTCTTTGCTGCATCGCACGAAACCCGGACCGTTGCCTATTGGGATATGTTGGGCCTTTCAGAATGCAATAAAAAACATATTTTTAAATTTCCATTGAAGGTTATTTGGTCCGACAAGACTCAATTAATTGCTTTCAGCAGATGGCCGGGCATGGTATTGGATTAAAGACCCAAATTAAGCCCATGCGCAACATGTGAGGCAAACTGTGAATCACAATGGTCGGTCAATAATAGTTTGGGGTTGTATTTAAACAATTTTGATGGTCCGTTAGTACGCATTATGCGTAAGGAACAGTATCTGTTCATATTTCAGCAAAATTTGCAAGATGTAGTCGAAAAAATGAGAGTTTCTGCTGAAAAATCACTCAAAACCCACTGCACATGTTCGCAAAGCCTTTATACAAAAGCAAAAATTTGCTAATTTGGAATGACCTCCACAATCCGCGGACATGAATCTCATCGATAATTTGCGAGATCAATTAAAAGCACAGCTTAATTAGTATCAAAGTCCGCAAAATCGAGTACAGGAGCTGTGAAAGCAAACTAAGGATATATGGGAGGATATACCTCCACAATTTTTACAGAGATACAAATAAGGTATCCCAAATCGCATCCAGGAACTAAAACAAGCAAAAGGGTACCGAACATTGTGTTAACAATTATTTTTTTTCGTCAAAATTGTCAAAAAGTTATTAAAAATATATAAGTGCAAAACTGTAACATATGCCTTAATTTAAATTTTTGTCTGCTGGTTCTATTATTGTTTTTGGATTGACTTCAAATCATTATCAGAGAGGAAGTACAGGTATACCAATAAGAATATACAACAACATTATGAAAGTCGTTAAAACTTGGAAAGATAGCGATGGCTCAAGTAAAAAAAAGGCATGAGTACTAGGTACTCATGAAATTTGATGTGTATACATATGCGAACGGCAAAGCATAAAAGTACGTTTACATATATATATATAATCTCAATCAAAGCTCGTTAGCTGTCAAATTGGTTGTGCTTGTTATTCACACAACTCGAGGAAAAGTTAAACTTCTTCTCTGTGCCACCGTGGTCACGTTTTTTTGCAACACATATTAGGCCATTTAAATATATTTTAACTGAATATTTTATTAAAAATACCTTTACAAACCTATTTTCCTTACTAGCGTAAATTTTTTTTTACTTTAACATTTGACATTCCTCCTCTTCTTCGCACGTATAATCGATAAAACTGGGTTGGACACCAAAAAGTTATCGGTTTAATCTGAGATATTTTTAATTATAACTTTGCATGGCTAATCTCTTTTTCTAATAACAGATTAGGGAGTCAAGCTCGAAAATTAGGATAATATTTTTATATATAAAGGCGATTCAGTTACACACATACAAATGTGGGTTAGGTTAGAAATTAAACATTAATTTCACTTAATTTTATTCATTTTGCTGATTTAATTTTTTTATTCATTTTCATTTTTAATTCTTTTAATACATGACATTATCGGTATGATTGATAAAATATACTTGTATATACTTGTGACTCAAGGGCGTTAAAATATCTTGGAAACACCGCATATAGGTAGATTTTCAAGTTTTATGCGGCAAAAAATATTTTATTGCCTCTATCTACTCAAAATTGTTTATCAAATGTAAAATTGAAATAATTTGTATTACAGATAGGTTATATTAATAAAATATATATATTAGCCAATAATTTACTATTTAAATATATTGACTACCTTTATTTATAAAATGTGTGTACACTATCATTGGTTAATTAGTTTTCGCTTTCAGAATCGTCGCTGGCCTCAAATTATTCCTTTGTCACATCTTTGACAGCTGATTTAGAGGGTAACAGCAGCTTTATTGTGTCTGGGGAAAACGATTTGATATTTTTTCTTTTTTTGGTCATGAACCGAAATACTGCTTAAAAACGAGTCCGAGCTCATCAACAGCCGGTTATATATGTCACGGTTACATACTTCACGAGAAAACTTCCGGGAATAATTTTCTCGGTAGTGTTTGTTGTGGGCCTCTTGAGCCTCCCCGATAATTGTCCTATTGTTAATAAGGAATTAGTATCTTGTGCATTGTGGGTGTCATAGGATGCCATGCCGTCGTCGATTCGCCACTTCTNTGTGGGCCTCTTGAGGCTCCCCGATAATTGTCCTATTTTTAATAAGGAATTAGTATCTTGTGCGTTGTGGGTGTCATAGGATGCCATGCCGTCGTCGATTCGCCACTTCTCGCTCGCTATGTTTGCGTTCCGGTCACTTAATGAAAAATTTTGCATGTGAAAGCAACAACAAAGTTAGCTAGCACGGATAGACGATAGCAAGTTTGGTTGTACCTCATTGAGTTCGTTC